TTTGGCAAAAAGAAGAAGGTCTCTCGGCTCCTTTTTATTATATTTTATAACTTTTGTTTTGTTTTGTTTTTTTCTGTCAAATATGTTCCTTTCAGAGATTAGATGTTATTCTAGCATCAGATCTGTGGTACGTTCACTACATCAGCGTTGACATTAAAACGATATTTACATATATAAATACATACAGAGGAAATGCTTAGCATTTACCTTTTAAGAAAGACTTGTTTTATACATATATATCTGGACATATATGTATGGACATTTGGATGAATATAGATATACCTCCTTATAGATAGTGTTCGTAGATGATTGTAGAACGTGCATGAAGAAAATGGAATAATTATGTGAGTAATCGGGATAATACAACGTTTAACAATATTCAGCCATATTGCGATATTGGTTTCCAACATACAAGACGGACCATGAAATAATGACTTGAATTTGGAACTGGCTTTCTGGTGTGATGTAACACCCCATGATCTCCTGTAGAAAAAAAGTTTAAAGCACGAATAAAGATCACGAGATGATACTGATGTACATACAACTGGACATATATTTGCGCAGTATTACTACGTTAATTCATCAGTATATATGTATTTTGCGCAAAAAGGATTTTGTAGGATCGACGCTGACATGCGCATATAACCTATTCACCAGTGCTGTAATGTTTAATTCATTTGTATTTTGACACATATCGATAGGAACATGGAGAGTCTGTCTGAAGATATATAGACATGCATGGGATCTTTTGGACAGTTGTACCTCACGTCTTGAAACATGGACTTGTAACAGAACCCATCATTGAACCATTTGCAGTCTAACCCATCTAATTGCCGTGAATGGATATATTATCCATCTACTTATACACACTTATTATGGACATATACATAATTTCATTGTACCTTTTTTTTAAAAAAAATACCCGTGAAGATCGGGGTTTGAATAGGCCTTCAACAACCCATGCTTGTACAAAGGCGACTTACATTATCGGGTGGTCAGGTTCGCTGACTTGGTTGATGCATGTCATCGTATCCGAATTGCGTAGATCGGTGCTCTTGATGATGATAACTGGATTGTCTGGTCCAGACTGGATTATTGACGAACCACCGTCATATAGCTGGTATATTGCTGAGTGCGGCGTTTAACAACAAACACTCAAACAGAAACTATTATTAAACTCCTTCCAACAATGAGAAATTAAACTTATATTTTCTATATATTCTGTTATATTTAAAACATAATTTGATTCATGATTTAATTATTGCGTTGCTTTCTTGTCTGTCATTCAATGTACATGTTCAAACCCCTAAACTTTGAATATTTGATTTTTTCACAAATGGTTACGTTAGTGAGTTGCCTAGATCTCTCGTTACCTTCTCACACGAACAGATTAAAATAATTTGTTTTTACTATCATATTTCAGTTTATTTAATTCATAATACGAAATTAATCATTCATTTATCACAGTATTGATCATATTCGTTTATATCACTATCTGATGTTAAGGTTTTATTGCAGAAATTATAATGAATTCAAAATGTAGAAAGATACACAATTTGCCATTATTTGACTTTTAAACTATACAAAGTATAATATAATGATGAGAATTCCTGTAACGGACAGTATTTAAGAAAGAAATATGAGTCGAGTAGTCAGATTGCCCTTCAGTAGTATTATTGTATATCTCCAGAGAGAGGTTTACGTTGTAGTTCTCATTATTTGTGGATAATTCAACAAGCAGCATAGAAAAAATAAATATTCTACCATAACGAAAGAATACAGAGTATACAATAACTCGCAATTGTTCAAAAGAGATTTCAAATCACAATAACATATCTTATATGAACAGAGGTGCTAATGGTTTAATCTCTACATTGTGCCCATGTTCGTGAGCCCTATTCAGCAAACAGCCCAAACCCGAAACTCCACAACATATCCGATTACACTGACCCAGTTCTCCAGTTCTCCATGCGATACTGTCGCTCTTGTACGTCTCCAAGTCCATAGAGAATAAATTTAAAAGGAATCCAACTCAAGTCTAGAACTATTTATTAAGACTAGATTGCCTCAATTATATCCATGAAAGTAAGCGTTAATAAAAAATATTGTTCTTGGCTGCTTCAGATTATATTTTGTAGATGCATATTTTTAACTGCGAAAATTGTACTGACATCGGCACTGTCCCTATTGAAGCTATTTATAGCTCAAATAAGACTTTCGAATTGTCGTCCATTGTTCGATGTCAATACATCAATGAAAAGTGAGGATGATATAGTAATCGTTGATGCCGCGCTACACTATAATAAAAATATAATCAAGTTGACTAGTATGTACATTACTACAGTGAACATGTACATGATCATGCCCTAATAATCAAATGTCGTAATATTAAATACTAATATATTATTATGTGATGAATTTGACTGAAACAGTGGTAACATGTGATATTAATATTCCATCAATTTCTTTCCTGGTTGGTCTATCCATGTCTACAAAATGAAAATAATGCAATTAAAAAGGAGCACAGAACAATTCTTAATTTCAGACTAGAGCTGTTGAAATCTAGACTTTCCCAATCATTATAGACTTGAGTTGGTCTCATTTTTAACATTATTCTCTTGGGTCTACGTCACAGCTCATACCACACAATACCAAGACCAGTTAGTCCCCCGCCGGAGCGCCTGGATTTTGGTTATATCATCTAACATGGCCAACTCTGCTCTTAAGTAAACAAGAAGCTAATTAGCGAGTGGTCCTTTATGATCATGCTGGGTTTTTGTCCTTTGCTTGAACAATAATGTAACTTAACTTCTTTTATTGAGTCGTTTATTGGTAGATAATTTCGTACACAGATATTTCATCTAACATGGTAATTATAATCATAACTATTTTTCAATAATGATGGTATGCACATTTCTTTAAGTTGTTCTGTACACGGATTCCCCAGTGGCTATATTGCATCATATAGAATACTCATGGATGTGTATGCCACTGTACTAAATTAATTATGATCATATTCTTTATTATTATCCCATTCAGACCCGATATTTTAACAAGAACTAATTAATCCAATACGATTCCAAAATTATTAGTTATATTTATGATTTATTTCATTGTGTAATAAGAAAACAAATGTCAAATAAATGGATTTTCATGTGAATAAAATCCAGAGGCCAAATATCGGAACCAATGACAGACCCTATCATTAAACACGATTGTTAAGGATACTGGGCGTTCAATAATTCCGCTAAACCACCATTTCACAATGGTAAAATACGGGGCATAATCGGCGATATTTACTTCATCAAATTTACAAAATGGAGATCGTATCATGTATACGATTTCGTGATAACAGTGAGCTGACACGAAATATTAACGCACATATCACTGTTGAAAATGTGGTGTGTGTCATTGTTTAAATTTCACCGATGTGACAAACACTTTCGAGTCTCGAAACAGCTTAAATAATGTTTTCCTTCACTAAAAGTAACAACGGACGTTATTCTCTTGACATATACATTGCAAGAGCATTCATGAAAATGCTAAGAAAAATATTTAACCACCCGTTCTAGCGTTTTTCTATAGTAAATACATGGCGTGTCCGCCATGTTTGTTCGTCTCGTGGAGGCGGCCATTGTGCAGTCATTGCCTGGGTCAGTGTAGCGCCAGCGCAGCATACCCGGGGAACCAGGCTGTTTCAATTATCCAATTGATTTGATTAGAATATACTTGCGTCAGTGTATTTTATTAACGCCCAAAACAGTAATTTAAACACATATAATAACCGATCATATACACGCATGGTGCCTTCACTTACTACTAGCTTTAATAGGCCATCCCGGAATAAAATATTTCCCCCAAAAGCGAGGAACATCCCTTTTAGTCTGTTTATAAGAAATGAATTCCAAACAATATCCTCAGTAGATGAGAAGATCTGTTACAGAATTGCCTCAGTAAGTCAGTCACAATGACAGAGCATCGTAATACATTTACATCAAGTACAATACGTCAAAATGGCCGACACGATAAACGTGACGGGAGATATTTCCGAAGTGGTTAATAAACCTGTGGTTATTTCAAGCCTTTGTCATCACTGATCAATTGGCCGATCATTGAAAGGTGATTGTAAAGATGTGTCAAATAGATACTAAGATAAACTCATAGATTGCTGTAGATTGTCACTACGATAGTTTGGATGTTTTGGTTTTTTTCGTTTTTATTTCTCTAGGATGGGTTGTAGCGAGGGTATCCTTAAACGGGCTATGCAACCAAACTCTCTGACTTATCCCAGAGTAAGCTAGGACGCTAAGTTCAAAACTAAAGGGTCTAAATGACGAGAAACAACGCTTCTGTATGAATTCGTACATGTACCAGGAAATTCCCAGGGATTTCCCCAGAAATGTGGAAGTGGTCAGTGTTTATGTCATTTCAAGAATATAGTCACGTGAAAAACGTCATGTGACCGACCTCTCGTCCAATGGAAAAGCCGTATATCTTGTAAACTTCACATAAATAAATAGTTACTGTTATAACCAAATGAAACACAACCCATTATCCGATAGAGGTAACTGTGTAAGCGGAGGGATATGTTATCAGAATAAACTTGGTAACATGGTTTGGTTTGACTTCTTGGCGCGTGTCTGAATTCCTTTAACATGTTACGTGTCCTAAAATTGGCTTATCAGCAAATCTCGCTCCACTACGCGCGACAGATACTAGAGCAAGGCATGCCAGAAATACGAAACCTAATGCTTCCGAAAGGAAGCCTTAGGCATCACGTGCGTCAGGGGGACCAGAGCCATCTCATTGGCCGTTAACAGTTGTACAAGGCGGGGCAAAAAGCATCGTTTTTCCGTCCATTTTACGCTTGAAAAACTCGACCCTTTTCCGGACACTTTCTAGACGCTCGCCAATTAATCAATTTTAATGAATTTTTAGTCGTTTTTCCGTCCAATGACCATATACGGAAAAAAACGACGTTTTCGTGTTTGCAGTGTCACTGGTTGATGGATATTGGGTTGTTGTTGAAGCCGTGAGGTGGGCGTTCTGGGTGTGGTCGGTGCCTAAATCAGTCAAACGGAGAAGTGCTTTTTTATACAGCTCACCTGGATCATTCCAATTTCGTTTGAAGGTAGGACATATTTAATGTTAAATCATAAGCAACAGCAGAGGCCACCCATCACAATGCATGTGAGCATCGCGGACACATAGTCACAGTTTATGTCCAAATAAGAAGTCATGAACTAGATTAAATTTCGAAGTGACGCTGTAAGAACGTGTGATAGTAGTCTGTAAAGAGCTCACGTCTGCGTCAGGTCCCAGAATATTCCTAACTCTCTCACAAGTGATATATAGAGAGACATATTTAGACTATTTCTTCAAATTTTAATCATGCATGCATCTATAAAAGTTTACATTTCACAGTCTTCCTGACTCTTTGTATAACACAATGGATGATGCCAATTACCTCCCTTGTTACATCACTTCATGCAAAATCGGAATTTGTCATATTAAGACTGCTGGGTTTCAGTGTGAACAGGATTTGAATACGGAAAAAAGCAGACATATTCCACTTATTAAAGACTTTCCATCTCTTCTTATGGATTTGGCTATGTACAATATATGATGTTAAGGTGTAATTTACAATAGTATTTTTATAAGGTGTTTGCTAAATCTAAACTGAATCAATTAAACATTTGAGTCTGTAATTATCGTTCCATATTACATATAGTTAAACTAGAAATCTGACCAATGAACACCTATGTGTACAAATTCGTTTTGACAGTACATATTAACAGTTAAAATGCTGTCGCTAATGTATAGTGATGACGCAAAACCGAGGGAACCTGACAAATATGAAAATCTGACGCCGGAAACGATGAACGCGGCGCTTATTAAAACACAAGCAGAACTCGAAGGTTCAAATCGAACTAGGAAATTAAACGCAAGTGGCTTGATTACAGCGAGAGGAAAATAACATGTGCATGGAGTGAGAGTGCTAACAGAGATGATTCGTTTCAAAATATATTTAATAGTAATTGAGGTGGGATAAATCTTCTTGAGGTCAGATAAAAATACAATATTGTCAGACCTATTGTCTTGTAAAGAAAAACTAATGACTGCAATGCAGTGACACACAAAAGTTGCGTTTTTCGCCACCTTTCTAAAGAGATGGCTAAAGAAGGATATGATCAATTACCCCAGGTTGTACCTAATGTCTCCTTTGATGATAGCCTCCTTTTTTGCACCCCCAGGATATTGACGTGCATTGAAATAAACAGATTTTCTAATATGGATTAGTTAATATGTTCACTTTTCAATGTTTATAATTACTTCAGTCGGACAATGCAAATTATATATTCATGGATCATTGAAAATCTGTGATGACACCAGGTGTCTCCTAAAAAGGTTATGTCCTGCCCTACCGGTAGCATCACCCACACAATTTGTATACACAAAGTAAGTGTATGTTTGTTGTCTAAGCCCGCCAGGTATTAACCTGGTTTACGGACCAGTGTGCTCTACAGTAGCATTCTCAACTCCCCGGGATGAATACCTGAACAATAGTACCTGTCTGTGTTGCAGAGGGTGTACACGCACCACAAGTCATCGGGCAAAGCTTATATATATCTGGATGATGGCATATATCGGGTGCGCACAGATCGTAGTTGTCTTTACACGGAGATGCTGAAACAATAAAACACGAACATTGGATGTGTGATCAGGTAATCCGAACTGAGTTTCAACAGTCAAATAAAGTTGCGTGACGTTTGAACGACTTTATCAACTGAAACGACAGCTAATCGTTCAGAGTTCGGTACTTCTTCAAATCTGAATGTTCTCAGAGACTAAGCGAATTTGTCTTCCGAAACTCAAGCTTGTCGTAAGAGGCGACAAACAGGATCGTTTGGTCTGGCTCGTTGACAAATGTATTCTTATCCCAATTACATAGATCGATGCTCATGATGTCAATCACTAGACTGTCTGGTCCAGGGTCGATTATAAACAGAGTGCAGTCATACATCTGGAATATTGCTGAATATTCTTTTAAAATGCGAGGTCTGCTTTGGAGGAACCAAATGGTACTCATCATACTAAATTACTACCATTTAAACAGTATTGCAATAGTATTTCTGACTACGACTATGTATGTGCAACAATTCGTTTTGACAGTACATGTTAACAGTTAAAATGCTGTCGCTTATGTATAGTGATGATACAAAACCGGGGGAACCTGACAAATGTGAACATCTGACGCCGGAAATGATAAACCAGGCGCTTATTAAAACACAAGCAGAACTCGAAGGTTCAAATAGAACTAGGAAATTAAAAAGTGGGTTGTTTACAGCGAGAGGAAAATAACATGTGCATGGAGTGAGAGTGCTAACAGAGATGATTCGTTTCAAAATATATTTAATAGTAATTGAGGTGGGATAAATCTTCTTGAGGTCAGATACAAATACAATTTTGTCAGACCTGTTGTCTTGTAAAGAAAAACTAATGACTGCAATGCAAGTATACACAACAGTTGCATTTTTCGTCCCATTTATGCAGAGATGGCTAAAGAAGGATATGATCAATTACCGCAGGGTGTACCTAATGTCTCCTTTGATGATAGCCTCTTTCTTTGCACCCTCAGGATATTGACGTGCATTGAAATGAACAGATTTCCTAATATGGATTAGTTAATATGTTCACTTTTCAATATTTATTACTTCAGTCAGACAATGCAAACTATATATTCATGGATCATTGAAAATCTGTGATGACACCAGGTGTCTCCTAAAAAGGTTATGTCCTGCCCTACCGGTAGCACCACCCACACAATGTGTATACAAGAAGTAAGTGTTTGTTTGTTGTCTAAGCACGCCAGGTATTAACCTGGTTTACGGACCAGTGTGCACTCCAGTAGCATTCTCAACTCCCCGGGATGAATACCTGAACAATAGTACCTGTCTGTGTTGCAGAGGGTGTACACGCACCACAAGTCATCGGGCAAAGCTTATATATATCTGGATGATGGCATATATCGGGTGCGCACAGATTGTAGTTGTCTTTACATGGAGATGCTGAAACAATAAAACACGAACATTGGATGTGTGATCAGGTAATCCGAGCTGAGTTTCAACAGTCAAATAAAGTTGCGTGACGTTTGAACGACTTATCAACTGAAACGACAGCTAATCGTTCAGAGTCCGGTACTTCTTCAAATCTGAATGTTCTCAGAGACTAACCGAATTTGTCTTCCGAAACTCAAGCTTGTCGTAAGAGGCGACTAACAGGATCGTTTGGTCTGGCTCGTTGACAAATGTATTCTTATCCCAATTACATAGATCGATGCTCATGATGTCAATCACTAGACTGTCTGGTCCAGGGTCGATTATAAACAGAGTGCAGTCATACATCTGGAATATTGCTGAATATTCTTTTAAAATGCGAGGTCTGCTTTGGAGGAACCAAATGGTACTCATCATACTAAATGACTACCATTTAAACAGTATTGCAATAGTATTTCTGACTATTGCAATCGCTAATATGACCCCGATAGTCACCCCTACTGTTTGGCGGCGTCTAACACAATTCCAACAGTAACCTGTTTACAGAAGAACGTTCAATATTGTGTATGAATATATATAACTCACCAGTTGATGGATATTGCGTTGTTGTTGGAGCCGTGTGGTTGGCGTTGTGGGTGGAGTCGGGGCCTAAATCAGTAAAAAAGAGAGTTGTATTCTATGTAGCTCACCTGGATCATTCCAACTTCGTTTTAAGGAATGACGTATTTTATGTAAAACCAGAAGCAACAGTCGTGGCCACAGGACACGCATCAACATGCTTCTGAACATCGCGGACAAGTAGTCACAGTTTATGTCCAAATATGAAGTCATGAACAAGATTGATTTTCGAAGCAAGCTGTAGCAACATGTGACAGTAGTCTCTATGAAAAGAGTTCAAGTCTGCGTCAGGTTCCGGAATATTCCTAACTCTCTCACGAGAGATATATAGAGAGACATATTTAGACTATTTCTTCAATTATCAATAGTGCATGCATCGATAAAAGTTTACATTTCACAGTCTTCCGGACTCTTTGTATAACACAATGGATGATGCCAATTACCTCCCTTGTTACATCACTTAATGCAAAATCGGAATTTGTCCTATCAAGGTTGCTGGGTTTCTTGGTTTATATATAACTGTTTACATACTGTAACTTTGTGTCCATTGATGTACATTGACGTACATCAATTAGAAACCTAAATTGAGGATACTGTTTTGATAATGACTTTGGATGCTTAGCGGATGACAAGATTGGTTGAAAATCCAAGAAGTCATTTCGTATGGCCTTTCGAGCCATGAGTTATGTACAAGGAATATGACATACCAAAATGTACTTTGAAGTGTTGACTCACACATTCCCGATCTTCACAGCAAAAACTACAGTTTCTTTCATTTTCGTCATCTGTTACGCACCCAGCCGCGTTAGCTTCCGGTAGCCTCTCAATACACTTAATGAAAGAAAACCAAGAGTATTGCATACATATATATAACAAGCATTCGACCACATCTCAAAATCCAGTGACATGTTTGAAACATTTATCAGCGTAAGTGTTTCCATGGCAATTGATTGGCTAACCAAGTAAGTTACTATTTTTTACCTTTTTTTTTAAAGAGATAACTTAAATGTTTCTTGCATTTGTTTAGGTATATACGTAGAAACTGGGGTGTACACTTTGGGTATATTCGCGAAGCGGTTTTTACGTTTATTCCACCTTCAGGGCAAAGAATGACATTGAAGTCAATTCTTAAACATGGTGTGTTAGGCTGCGGGATGTGCTAGAGTAGATGTCGGTCAGCTGTACTGCCAACAATCTCATATTTAATCGAATATGTTGTTTCCTTCCATTAACACATACATGCTTCTCCTGACTGAGTATAGTTCCATCCATTTAAACGCCTTATTCTTTCGTAAGAGACGATAAACGGGATCTAGGTGACTTGGTTCATGCATGTCAACTTAGCCGAACTGCGTCACTGGATTGTCTGATTCAGGCTCGATTATTGATAGACCACTGTCATATAGCTGGGACATAGTTGAGTGTGGCGTTAAACAAGAAACAAACAAACCAACCAACAAACAAACAAACAAACAAACAAACAAACAAACTCATCCAACCTACATCTGCGCTGTAACCACATTGAGCGGTGAAATGACTACCATTCGTTTTGAGGTGGCAGATCTGCAACAAATGAAATGCCCTGATCCAACAAAGATTTATTATAGATGTAAAAGTGCAAAGGTAAGTTGAGCTACAGGTTTCAGAAGTAAAACAGATGTTGACCTTAGTTCCATTCCACAAAGCGATATCAGCTGTACGACTGTCATAACTCTCATCCTTAAACAGAATTACGATCGTCTTACCGCTTAGATCGCTTCATCGAATGAGGACCTGATTGATAAATAAACGCTCGTGATGCAAGTAGACATGAAACATGCACCGCCCAAAGATGAAGCGAGTAGCTATAGACTCTTTTTTGTCAACAATACCCATAATAAGTAAGGATAATATAAGATATAAGATAGCGACGTTTCAGTGTAGGTTCTAACACCGTTATCAAGCAAGCGATAACAATGTTAGAAGCTACACCGAAACGTCTCTCCTAATTATAATAAAGAAGTAGTTCATCCATATATCTTATCCTTACTAAGTACTGGACTGTTTGGTCCAGACTCGATTATTTTACAGACCGACGTCATATAGCTGCAATATTGCTGAGTGCGGCGTTAAACAACAAACAAACGAACAAACTTAGTACTCCAACTTCTAAATGCCTCTAAAAGAGAATACACATAATATATTAAAGCAAACATTATAGATTTCCAATTTTCCTAAAATTGGCAAACTTTGAATTTGAGTTACAGAGCAACATCCACGTCACTGCATTGTTCATCATAGTGCATTCTGATCAATCAACGAAACGGTTGTGACAAACGTATTAAGGTTTGACAGTTTTATTGAAAATGCCGAAAACTTTAAATAAAAATTAAGTTGTACATGCATATATTACACAGACACGAATCGTGGATGGTCAGCTGGATGATATGAAAATTCATGTATTGTGGTTTCTCAAAAACAAAATGTTTGGCTCCACCTTTCCGAGAAAAAAACATTATGGAGCGCTGACTGATCAAAGCATCTTTTTCTAGCAAAACACTGCACGCCCAGAATGCTACATGGTCGGTCCTTTACATGTACACTTCCTATAGTATAAACGTATAATGTTCGTAGTACAGACTAAAGGACATTCTTTAGATGAATCAGTATGATTTCACGCTCATCTCAGTGATGTTTTTATGTATACGAGGAATACACACAGGAGTGTTAATTATGATTTATCCACGCTATTATCAATTGGATACAGACACGAATAGCAATAGATATCATTTGGAGGAGAAAAAACAGCAGCTTCGTCGCTTTATTAAACATATTTGATCCAACTCACATCACGGTCATCGTGGCAGGCATGGTAATGATCAATGCAGATTTGAGGATCCAGCACGTTCTCACAACGAGGGCATTCAAGAGGAGCTTTATGTCCTGAAAACAATAAGACAAGAGAAAAAGTACAAGGATAAACTGTTAAGATCAAGGAAAGGTATTATGCCCCATCTCTGGTCACCACCATGGGGATTATAGGTTAGCATTGGTCCACCAAAAGCTATTTAGTATCATTCGCCAGATTGTCCGGTGCAGACTCGATTATTTCTTTCTTTGTTTGTTGTTTAACGCTATACTCAGAAATATTCGGGCTGTATGACGGCGATCTGTAAAAAATCGAGTCAGGACCAGACAATCCAATTATTGACATCATGAGCATCGATCCACGCAAATGGCATACATCAACCAATTCAGCGAGCCTGACCACCCAGTCATGTTAGTCGCCTCTTACGACAAGCATAGTCGCTTTGTACAGCAAGCATGGGTTGCTGAAGACCTATTCTAGCCCGGATCTTCGTGGTGTCGTGAGAGAAGACTAACAGGATCGGGATGTCTGGCTCGCTGACTTGGTTGCTACATGTCATCGTATGCCAGTTGCATAGATCGATGCTCATGATGTCAATCACTGGACTGTCTGGTCCAGACTCGATTATAAACAAACTGCTGTCATAGAGCTGGAATAGTGCTGAATATTCTAAATAAATACGAGGAAGTCTACTTCAGAGATTCAAACGGTACTTACCATACTATATGTGTATATGACTACAATTTCAACAGTATCGCAATTGTATTTTTTGACTATTGCAATGGATAATATGACCCCGATAGTCACCCATACTGTTTAGTGGCGTCTAACCCAATTCACTGCGTAACACATGTACAGAAGAACGGATAATATTGGGTATGAATATACACCAACTCACCGGTTGATGGATGTTGCGTTGTTTTTTTAGAGGTGTGGTGGGCGTTGTTGGTGTGGTCGGTGCCTAAATCAATAAAAAAGAGAGTCGTATTCTATGTAGCTCACCCGGATCATACCAACTTCGTTTGAAGGAAGTACGTATTTTATGTAAAACCAGAAACTACAGGAGTGGCCACACAACACGCATCAACATGCTTCTGAATTTGCGGACTAATAGTTACAGTCCAAATATGAAGCCATGAACTAGACTGAAGTTCGAAGTGGTTGGTTGTTTGGTTGGTTGTTTAACGCCGCACTCAGCAATATTCCAGCTACATGACGGCAATCTGTAAATAATCGAGTCTGGACCAGACAATCCAGTGATTGATATCATGAGCATCGATCCACGTAATAGAGATCGATGACATGTATCAACCAAGTAAGCGAGCCTGACCACCCGATCCCGTTTGTCGCCTTTCACAGCAAGCATGGGTTGCTGAAGACCTATTCTACCCCGGATCTTCACGGGTCTTGAAGTTCGAAGTGACCCTGAAAAAACGTGTGGCAGTAGTCACCATGTAAAGAGTTCAAGTCTGCGTCAGGTGCCAGAATATCCGCAACTCACTCACGAGAAATATATAGAGATACATATTCAGACTATTTCTTCAATTTTCAATCGTGCATCAATCGATCAAAGTTTATATTTCACAGTCTTCCTGACTCTTTGTATAAAACAATGGACGATGCCAATTACCTCCCTTGTTACATCACTTAATGCAAAATCGGAATTTGTCCTATCAAGGTTGCTGGGTTTCTGGGTTTATATATAACTGTATACATTCTGCAACTTTGTGTATAGCTGTCATGATGTACTTTGACGTACATTAATTGAAACCTGAGACCCGTGAAGATCCGGGGTAGAATAGGTCTTCAGCAACCCATCCTTGCCATAAAAACGACTATGCTTGTCGTGAAAAGTGACTAACGGGATTGGGTGGTCAGGCTCGCTGACTTGGTTGATGCATGTCATCGATCCCAATTGTGTGGATCGATGCTTATGATATCAATTACTGAATTGTCTGGTCCAGACTCAATTATTTACAGTCCGCCGTCACACAGCTGGATTATTGCTGATTGCGGGGTTAAACAACAAACGAAGAAACAAACAAACAGACACCTCACTTGAGGATACTGTTTTGACACCTTAATAAAAATTCAAATGATTGTTTTTTAAATGCTGGGTGAATTCTTACGTTTATTTAACATTTAACATGTTAAATACTACAAATGCACCACATTTGTGTGATTTACCGTATCCGGAATGTTTCCAGAGAATAAAAGAAAATGACTTTGAATGCTTTCAAACGTGAATCCTTAGCGGATGACAAGATTGGATGAAAATCCAAGAAGTCATTTCGTATGGCCTTTCGAGCCATGAGTTATGTACAAGGAATATGACATACCAAAATGTACTTTGAAGTGTTGACTCACACATTCCCGATCTTCACAGCAAAAAATACAGTTTCTTTCATTTTCGTCATCTGTTACGCACCCAGCCGCGTTAGCTTCCGGTAGCCTCTCAATACACTTAATGAAAGAAAACCAAAAGTATTGCATACATAAATATAACAAGCATTCGACCTCATCCCAAAATCCAGTGACATTTTTAAAACATTTATCGGCGTAAGTGTTTCCATGGCATTTCATTGGCTAACCAAGTAAGTTATTATTTTTTACTTTTTTTTTTTAAAGAGGTAACTTAAATGTTTCTTGCATTTGTTTTGGTATAGACGTAGAAACTGGGGTGTACACTTTTGGTATATTCGCGAAGCGGTTTTTACGTTTATTCCTCCTTAAAGGCAAATAATGACATTGAAGTCAATTCTTAACAAACATGACATGGTGTGTTAAGCTGCGGGATGTGCTAGAGTAGATGTCGGTCAGCTGTACTGCCAACAATCTCATATTTAATCGAATATGTTGTTTCCTTCCATTAACACATACATGCTTCTCCTGACTGAGTATAATTTCATCAATTTAAACACCTCATTCTTTCTTAAGAGACGATTAACGGGATCAGGTGGTCAGGCTACCTGACTTGGTTCATTCATGTCAACGTATCCGAACTGTGTCGATTGATTCTGTCAATCACTGGATTGTCTGATTCAGACTCTATTATTGATAGACCACTGTCATATTGTTGAGTGTGGCGTTAAACAAAAAAACCCAAAACAAACAAACAAACAAACAAACAAACTCATCCAACCTACATCTGCGCTGTAACCACATTGAGCGGTGAAATGACTACCATTCGTTGTGAGGTGGCAGATCTGCAACAAACGAAATGCCCTGATCCAACAAAGATTTATTATAGATGTAAAAGTGCAAAAGTAAGTTGAGCTACAGGCTTTAGAAGTAAAACAGAAGTTGATCTTGGTTCCATTCCACAAAGCGATATCAGCTGTACGACTATCATAACTCTCATCCTTAAACAGAATTACCATCGTCTTACCGCTTAGATCGCTTCATCGAACAAGGATCTGGTTGATAAAGCTTGTAATGCAAGTAGACATGAAACATGCACCGCCCAAAGATGAAGCGAGCAGCCATAGACTTATCTTCTTTTTTGTCAACAATACCCATAATAAGTAGGGATAATATAAGATATATGGATGAACAACTTCTTTATTACAATTAGGAGCGACGTTTCGGTGTAGGTTCTAACACCGTTATCAAGCAAGCGATAACAGTGTTAGAAGCTACATCGAAACGTCTCTCCTAATTAGAATAAAGAAGTTGTTCATCCATATACCTTATCCTTACTTAGTACTGGATTGTCTGGTTCAGACTCGATTATTTACAGACTGCCGTTATATAGCTGGAATATTGCTGAGTGCGGCGTTAAACAACAAACCAACAAACAAACTTAGTACTCCAACTTCTACATGCCTCTCATAGAAAATACCTATAATATTTTAAAGCAAACATTATAGCTTTCCAATTTTCCTAAAGTTGGCATACTGAGAATTTGAGTTACAGAGCAACATCCACGTCACTGCATTGTTCATCATAATGCATTCTGATATCATCAATGAAACGGTTGTGACAAACTTATTAAGGTTTGACAGTTTAATTTAAAATGCCGAAAACTTTAATTTTGTTTGTTGTACATGCATGTATTACACAGAGACGAATCGTGGATGATCAGCTGGATGATATGAAAATTAATGGATTGTGGTTTCTCCAAAAAAATGTTTGGCTCCACCTTTCGGAGAAAAACATTATGGAGCGCTGACTGATCAAAGCATAATTTTTTAACAAAACACCGCACGCCCAGAATGCTACATGGTCGGTCCTTTACCTGTAAATTTCCTATTTTATAAACGTATAATGTTCGTAGTACAGGCTAGAGGACATTCTTTAGATGCATCAGTTTGATTTCACGCTCAACTCAGGAACGTTTTTATGTATAAGAAGAATACATACAGAAGTTTATCATGATTTATCCACGCTAATATCAATTGGATAACAGACACGAATAGCAATAGGTATCATTTGGAGGAGCAAAAACAGCAGCTTCGTCGTTTTATTAAACATATTTGATCCAACTCACATCACGGCCATTGTGGCAGGCATGGTAATGATCAATGCAGATTTGAGGATCCAGCACGTTCTCACAACGAGGGCATTCAAGAGGAGGTTTATGTCCTGAAAACAATAAGACAAGAGAAAACTTACAACGATAATCTGTTAAGATCAAGGAAAGGTATTATGCCCCACCTCTGGTCACCACCATGGGGATTATAGGTTACCATTGGTCCACCAAAAGCTATTTAGTATCATTCACCAGATTGTCTGGTGCAGACTCGATTATTTATTTCTTTGTTTGTTGTTTAACGCCGCACTCAGCAATATTCCAGGTGTATGACGGCGATCTGAAAATAATCCGGACCAGACAATCCAGTAATTGACATCATGAGCATCGATCCACGCAATTGGTTGGTTGTTTGGTTGGTTAGTTGTTAGGGAACTGGAGAAAACGAATGAGCCTCCAAAATACACCATTGTATCAAATGTTATCAAGACCAAGTGCAAACGTTTATTAAGAAAAAAAAGTGCAATGTGTTATTAAGACAAGAGCAAAATGTTATGATTATGTTGTTATATAATAAATTGTTAAAGACTCAAAGTATTTTTGTCATTTTATGACCAGAGGACAACGACAAACGCTTGTCGTAAGAGGCGATTAACGGGATCGGGTGGTCAGACTCGCTGACTTGGTTGATGCATGTCATCGTATCCCAATTACGTGGATCGATGCTCATGTCAATCACTGGATTGTCTGGTCCAGACTCGATTATTTACAGACCGTCATAGCTAGAATATTGCGGCGTTAAACAACAAACGAACGACAGCGGCCTGTGTAACTTATCTAATCTGGACCAAACAATCCAGTGATTGACATGAGCATCAATCTACCCAAATGGGATACGACGACATGAATCAACCAAGTCAGCACGTCTGATAACCCGATCCCGTTAGTCGCCTCTTACGACAAGCGTTTGTCAATCAATCTTTATTCATGGTACTTATGAGGCCAAAGGCCTATAGTACAATGTGTGGGGCGTGTTACAAATTCATACATTTTCTTAGTTTCATGGCATGATAAATGAACATTGATAGATTTCTAATAGTTTCTGTACAATTACAAGTCATTAATTTACAAAATTTGTTACCGTTTGGGTTGCGGTAGAAATAGTTATTTAGATATTTTGCTCTTAAATCCTCATACACTGGACATACACATAAAAAGTGATATTCATATTTCAATAAATAGATCATGTGAGCCACAACGGAATCGAGAAAGAGCTGTTCTAAACTTATGTAAATTTACACTTAATAGATAAGGTTCTAGTGTAATAGTAGTCTTAAATGTAGTGTAGTATTTTGCTTTTCTAGAACTGGACAAAGAACAATGCCATTTTTGAATGTACATATCTTTTAAAGTCTGTGTCAAACGGGAGAAGAAATGTTGTGGCATATCTACATGTTGCTGTAACCAAATATAACCATATCCACATTCGTATAACATGATTTTAACTTTTGATGCCCAATTTTGTTTCCCATGGCTGTCGTAGAGAAGCATCATATTATAACATTTTTCGGGTATCTTGAAGATGGCATATTTAATAGTTTGACCCAGTATTTAATAACCTTTAAATAACTATTGATATACATGGGAAACCGTCCGCATTCACCACATACCCTTGTGTTTTCTGTGCTAGATTTTACCCCCAAGAACCGTTTACATGCATATAAATGTATTTTCTCAATAACATCCAAATGTTCTAGGCCCCAAATTTCTGATCCATACAATAGCATCGGGCTTATTTTTGTATCAAATATTTTAAAATAAACATCATATGTAACATTGTCCAGAACTCTAAGACTATTTAATATGCCTACACAAATTTTCTTGGCTTGCAATGAAATGTTATGTGCATTCCTTGACCAAGTTAGTCTACTTGTAAAACACAAGCCTAAGTATTTATAAAATGGAACAACTTCTACAGGCTTCCTTCTGTAAAACCATTTTTCTTTTCTGGATATGTTACCACCATTTTTAAAAACTACAACTTTGGTTTTATCCATATTTACAGTTAGGTTTGACTCGTCACAATAACTCTCTAATACATGTATTTGCTTTTGCAGGCCAGGTATTGTGCTCGAGAACATGACTATATCGTCAGCGAAAAGAAGCAGACATAATTTAATAGTTTCGGGGTGCAGTTGTATTCCATCAGTGCATTTATTTTGGATTTGATATGCCAAATCATTTATGAAAAAGGAAAATAAGAAGGGACTTAATATACACCCTTGTCGGACACCCCTGCTACTTACAAAAGTATCCGATATAGCGCCATTGTTCCGGACACACACCTTCACATTTTTATATAGAGAGCATAATAACTTTCCAATTTTGCTACTTAGCCCATGTCTTTGAATGAGTGACCACAAGTTATCCCTTTTCACAGAGTCAAAAGCTTTTGCAAAATCTACGAATACAGCATATAGCTTCCCTCGTTTCACTGATAGATATCTCTAAATTATAGAATATAGGATAAAAGCATTGTCAGTGGTGGAGTATCCTTTTCTAAAACCTGCTTGTGACTCACTTATCTTACCCAAAGAATCCGCCCAGAAAACAAGTCTCTTATTAATAATTGAAGTAAATATTTTACTGAATGTACTTAGGAGAGTTATGCCTCTATAATTATTAACATCGCTGGTTGCGCCCTGTTTGTGAAGAGGGACAATAATGCCAACTGTCCAATTATCTGGAAAATATGATCTCTCTAAAAGGATATTAAAAATTAGTTCCAAATATGGTATTAAAATGTCTGAGGAATGTTTAAAAAACTCTGCTATCACATTATCATTTCCAGATGCCTCATTATCTTTAAGGTTGGATATGCTGTCAATAATTTCCTCTCTAGATATTGGACATTCAAGAATATCATCTGTTACACTGTCAACTTTATCTTCCATGAATTCCATGTCAAATAAATTGTTATTGTTTTGGCTAAATGGAACTGAAAACAGTTCCTGGAAATGCTCAAACCAGGCTTGAATATCAATGTCATTTTTGCAATATCTATTTGGTTTAATAGCTTTTAGCGATGACCAAAATGTTTTAGAATTATCTATGCTTGATTCCAACAGTTTCTGTTTTTGTTCGAAATATTCTGTCTTTTTTTTCCTACAAACATCGTTGTACTGATTTCTTACTCTATTATAGTCGGTTAGTGATCCTCTATCCTTTTTCTTTCTAAAATTATTTAAACGTCTACATCGTTCCTTTTTAAGTAGCTGGCATTCGCTATCAAACCATTGTTGATCATATTTACAGTCCTTATTCATTTTCTTCATATCTGATGCAGCAATAATAACAGCTTCAGTGATATACCCAATACTTTCTTCAACATTAACAAATGCTACATCTACAGCCTTCTCCAGTAAATCATTCGCAGTCCCAGAAATAAGATTTATTCTAAACTGTTCAGCCTTCTCTTCAACCCACACCAATTTGAAGGAAGCATTGTTACGTTCATTGCGTGGCATAGGGTCATTTACTAGAAGCGTACGTAAACTAGTCGTGAAGCGTTTGTCGTTGAAGACCTATTCTCACCCGGATCTTCACGGGTCCATAGACAAGTTAATGGACACTCACCAGTCACGTGTTGTCCGCCAGGCTTGTTGGTATGGTCATTCAGGTCTGCAGGTTTTGCATTGCAGAAATCAAAGCATTTTTATATTACATCGTTCTACAAGAATCTTCATTCAAAATATAATTAAGTTTGTGTGGCACTGATTATTATTTAAACCAGCGTAGAACACGAATACATCGTGTTACCTATTCTCTCGCTGAATATTTAGGTATGTTGAATGTCTGTTCCAAATCACTCGAGCAATAATTCACTAAATGAAAATGTAATAAATAAAAACAATGCCATCAGCAAGCAGAGGGTATGTTTATGTTAATCATTACAGGTAACACCAAAGAATGTGCAATTGAATTTATTTAACAAATACAGAATCGGGACCTAATTTAGCATGTAAAAGATATTAATAGAAATGTTCAATATATTGTTTTAAAATTCCGAAATTACTCGAAAATACATGTCTTGATTACGCATTACGCATTATTATCCAATTGTTTAAAAGTTACAAAGAAATAATTGTTTATCCGACTGTTTTTTTTGTAACAATAATTCCATCCCCATTCATAAACTGCCCGGCAAAAGAGGGTATGGATCCATGTTCGATGATGACCAAAAATGAAGCAATGAAGCTTTTTATATGCTGATGTATTAATACCGGCTTCTTTATAATAGTTATCAGAAATTCTCATCTTGCTGATATCGATATAGAACATGATCTATTTAAACATTCCCAATTTCCCTTCTTGACATTTTCAAAGTAACTCCAAACTTTAGCAAATTGTAACATATCGAGGTAATACAATTGCTATAGCCAGTGGTTTTCTTTCTCTGTAAGTAAATGCATACTCACGTTTCTGTATGTGGGAGAAGGCACTAGTGATGCAGGCATTGTCCTTACAGCACTCTTTGCACGAGTTGTAGTGCGTGAGATGGTCAGAATGGATACACGACTGATGATGGGTTTCATGACAATCCTGAAACAGTCACACGTCAGCACCTACTCAAGGATCGATCATTGATATTCTGGGGGTAGGGATGGGCTGGGATTTTATCGATATAATAAGTTCTAGGAAATCATAATTATGCTTCAGAGTGTTGTAAAAAAAGACAAGAAACTGAAATGCCGAAAGAATTACACTATTGCAATGTGTTTTTTTCTGAAAAACAACTTAGCCCCATAGTCTTAAACAAAAAGGTTGTGTAGCTGGAGCTGAAAAATATCTAATCTCGATACAAAATCCCAGCCGCTACCCCCGGAATAGGAATCGTGGTTCAAGTGTCAGGAAATTTCAAATGAATAAATGAAAGACATTTTTTGGAAATTCTTGAAAAGGAGGGGTGTGTGGGGGATGGGTATTCATCTGAGTTTTTAATGCTAACACCCTCCTACTTGGAACAGAAAATCATTCCAATCAAACAATCATACAGATACATAATACTGACCCCGACCCGGCCAGTCATTGTTTCATCACCCTAATGCCGAGT